AACTCCTCTCAATCACAAAATCCACCTCGAGCTCCATAGCTTTGAATTGATGTCACTACCAAATGACTAGTGGATCTTTTGAATAGCTACTTGCATATATAATTCCTTTAGTGGTATTTTTCCCTGATAGTTTGAGATATTGTTGCAAGTTGAAGAGCCATTGACATATATCTTCTTGTCTTAAGGTTCTAAACTATGTACTAGGTTTGTTGAATTTCAATCTAAGAGATGTCAATTCTCTTATCTTCAAGGCTTCTATTTGCCCTTGCAAAGTAACTATTTGGCATGAGAGGTGTTATATTTGAGCTTCCATCTTGGATTGTTCCACCATATCTTTCATACTATAATTTTTTCTCTAAATTTTGTTATTGTAATATCTTTTTTACCTCCCGATTGATTTTTTAAGAATAGCTTGTGGTAGCTTCAACACAGTATCCAATATGTCCACAATAACTAACCTTAGACTAAATGATGACTATTGACACGCTACCAAAAGTAAACAGTCTAAAACTTGCTCTAATACGAATGAAACAGGACCAACCTATCTCGAAAATCCAAGACCCTTCTAATCCACAAGAATATAAAGCTTCATCACAAAATAGAATAAAATAGACTAGAATAAAATTGAACAGAACTAAACAAAATATGACATGAAAGATAAAACTAAGCAAATGAAAATAGAACTGAACTGAACTGAACTGAACTTAAAGATGCAAAACCAAATTTTACTAAGAGAAAGGACCTAAAGCCATACTTGAACAAATGCCCAAAAGGCCCAAGCAAGTCCTATTTATATCTTATCCTACTAGCTTGGACTTTCTAGAATGTTTCTAAATAGTAGGTTCTACCTATATATCTCTCCTAAGTTTTTTTAAAATGATTATATGGTGGATCCTATCTACATAACTGCCCTAAATTCTTTGTAGAATGTTCCACAATAGGCCCTATCTACGTTGCCAGGGTAGAGAGAATTAGCCTCAAAAAAATCCTAGACTTCTGGCTGTCACTAATCGTTCAATCAAGCTTCAAAATAAGGAAAGCCCTAAGTTTATATATAAATTTTACCTTTTGAGCAAATACACCAAATACACAAGCCTCAAGTAACCAACAACACCCAAAATATGATAAATCCTTTAAAACCTTGTATATCCTTATGTAGAAATTTTTCCAAACTTCAATAGCTCATATCTCCTAATCCAACCGTCCAAACAAATCCAAATTTTATATGAGATATTGATGTATTCTTATTAACTTCTATAACAAATTTCAACTGCAAATTCATTGCGGATCTTGAGATATCTTGAAAATCCTAATAATCGCTTCAAACCCTTGTCTTTATACACCCATGTGAAATTTTCTTTATATCTCACAAAATGCCACGAAATTTGTATGTATAGCTTTTCAATACAAAATGTTACATTATCCAAAAAGTTTGAGCCAAAAATTCGTCCAAAAACTCAAGTAATGGCTCCAACCATTACTATAAATAAAACTACTCACTTACTGCATTTGATTTGGAAGTGCCGCCTTTAACTCCTTCACATGAACTCCAAAAGCAATAATTATTTTGTAAAAGATGTAGGCCTTCAAATCGCCATTCCATTCGCACCTTCCGATCTTCAAAAGCTGCTGTACAACTCTTCGTATCCTCAAAAGAGTAATAGTATGTCTTAAATTAATACTTTAACTTCAAACGGCTATAACTTCTTCACCCTAACTCCAAATCATCTAATTTTTACACGCAAATTGTACCCCAAATCCTAAACTTTACAAATCCTAGATTCTAATCTCCGAATGCCTTCTTTGAAGTCGCCGAAACCCTTGTTAAGGTTGCGGGCAGCCTTCTCAAAGCCCATTGGGCATGGTATTCGACCAATAGGGATGAAGTTTCTGATTCCTTGCCTTCATCCTACCATGCCTTGCTTTCATCCCTTCCAATTAGCCTCCTATTAGTTTAGATTTTCATCCTTAGGCTTCCACCTTCTCCCAAAGCTTTATATTAAACATTTAGGTCTTATATATTTTTTTAATGTCAAAATCAAAACAAGTAAAGAAACAAAGTAAAATTTCTTATACCAACTCCTTTTAATTTAATCTACTAGCTACTCTAATATACATCTAGATTTATTAATATATAATATGTTTTAACTAATTTTTACATATTGTAAGCATTTACAGTACGACAACGTAATCCCTCTAAACTCTTTATAAAATGTTCCATGGTGGATCTTATCTGGTCCACTAACCTACTTCCAATCCTAGAAACTTTGATGATTCTAACTATCTATACAATTATCTTATTTATACCTTGTTATAGAAGCGTGCTTCACTCTTGTCAATTCCTTTCTTATTTTTAGTCTACTTTCATGAGACTTTAGTTTTTTATCTTTTAATAATAGCCATTCCAATTTCATTTTAATATACATACTTCTTTATTTTTATTTTTGTCACTTTTCATTTGACACAAATTTTTTAGGTGTGTGCATCTTTTTTTCAATTCATGTCCTCGGATATTAACCTTAAATTCACTAGTCAACAAAACTTAATTAGTTGTTTAAATTGAAATAAATTAAGTCTTCCAAAATTTACTTACATGAATATATCTTCTTATTAATAGTATTAGGATTATACCATTATTTTTTTAGAAATAATTGCTAATAAGTTTACTTATTTAAAAGTAAGTACCATATTTAATAAGCTAAAATAATAAAAAAAATCTTTGTTAAAACCACAATTGTTTATTTAGCTGGAATTTGTATGATATAATTAGAATCTTCTTTTACTATTCTTTCTACCACCAAAATAAATTTATTTTTTAATAATAAGAAGGGAAAGATTCATAAATCCATGAGAAATATATTAATTAATAAGATTAGATAATAAATATTATTAATCACTTCCTTAAGTATTCTAAAGATTAAATGAATATCTAAAGATAATATTATTGATATCAAAAACTCTATATAATATAAGTTCTAAGAAAAAAGTAAAAAAAAAAGTTTAAAATATATTTTTAAAATATATCTATATATATATATATATATATACGAATTTTTTATAAAAACGTCACAAAATAAATAATTCTTATACTAATTTAAAACTAATTTATGTTACAAAAATAAAATTTGTCCTTCAAGGAATGAAATTTTTGTTCTTTTGATAAGAAATAAAATACAAAGTTTAGATATTTAAAGATATGCTTATATTCTTATGATAGAAATCAATATCAAAAGAAAAAAAATGTTCAAAAGCTGAGAACATTATTTTTTATAATTTTCTACAGTTGATATGTATATATATATATATATATATATTTAAAAATCCAAAAATTTATATGAATAATATATAGAAAAAAACATAATCTAATGATCATATTATGTTTATATTATTACTATCTATGAAATATACCTTTAGTAATTATATTTTATTTCACATCAATAGATATGTATGAACACAAAAGATTCTTTTCATCTAAAAAAAATTACATTTCAGGATTGCAGAGTTTGATGAATCATTTCTACATAAATAAAAAAAATAAAATACACAGTTAGCATGTGTGTTAGCTTGGTTGTAATATTATTAAATGGCTTTGAAAAAGTCATAATATCAATTTTTGTTTAATGTCCTTCAATCAATTTTTGACTATATATATATATATATATATATTATTAATGTGTTTCATCTTGAAATTAAGCATGAAATTAAAACGCCTAGTTATACTATTTGATATTTATGATTTATTTATTTATTTATTTACTGTTATCTATATACTATCTTTTCACAGTGAAAATATGTCATAATTGAAGATCAAAAAGAAATTGATTTATTCAACAACTATCATTTTTAAAAAACTAACATAAATTATTGCTAATTTCGTGATCACTGAGCATATAATTGCATACTAATAGTTAAGCAGTTTGATAATACAAAGTGTCTCATAAGTATTTTTTTTAAATCTTGCCACAAGTGGTGTTCTTTTTGTGCATATATATATATATATATATATATATATGTGTGTGTGTGTGTGTGTATATATGCATACATACATATCGAATAGAAATAACATTTCTATTTGAGTTTTTGTTAATGCATTAACAAAGATTAAAGTTATTAATAATTCAAATTTCTATGTAAAATAGTATTACATATATATATATATATATATATCGTTTCTTATTTAATAAATATGAATATAAATTATAAAACTTTGAATTTTGAAATCTTTATGTTGTACTTTTAAACAACAAATATTAATTGATCAAGAAGAACTCGAATTCTTGATCAAATGAGAACTCGAATTCAATAAAATAAATGATATAAACTCCAACTTCTTAATTCTTTTATAAACTTTGATTGTCTTTTATATCATTTTTTTAATACACAGGAATATTTTGAAAGTTTTCTTCAAAACATGATTTGGTATTTTAGACAACTTATCCTACAGTGAAGGTTTTTTAACAGTTGTTTTACATTGAAATGGTAAGAAAACAGTGTATTTTTTAAAAAACTTGGAGTTCATGTAAAAATATTGGTAGAATATTTAACAACACTGTTCTTATCTTGCAAGCATTAAAAATAGAAAACAGTGCTGACAATATTATATTTATCACAAATGCATTATTTGTGGGATTTATACCATCTTTTACACAAGCACAATAACTTTGTTAATTGTTTCAATTTTTTGTTCACATGTGATTTTTGTATCCTTTTGTAATTCTTTTACTCAGAAGTATACATTTAAGTTTGGTATATAATGTAGTAACATAAACACAAGGTTCTGTAAAAAAATCTTTATTTCTTATATTCTAATACTCTTAACTTGATATTGTAACTAACTTAGTAAATACCTGTGTAGAAATATATTAACAGATATTTTATATATATATTTTCAAAGCACATACCATCGCTCTTTGGAGTACACATGACAAAATATGTCAATATAGTATTGATTCTGAAAGCATTTATCTAATACTCATCTTTCAAAAGTCATAAAAGATCAATATTTACCAAATTTATGTCACAAACATGGAACATTGAGAAACGAAACAAAAATCAACACAGTTAATTTCATAAAACAAGAATAGAAAATTGAGAATGTATGTTGAACCAGAATCTAAACAAACAGCTTTCATTAAATGTAGGCAATCAACGATGCACATAAAAATGAAAGCAGAAATAGAACATGTGATCTTATTCATGGTCAAATAAAGAAAACGGTTTTGCTGACTTTTGAAAGTTCAGTGGCTTCAAGTTAAGAAATCAACTTCAAGAGTGCATCAAAAACGGCCGTGAAAAACACGAAAAAACTTGAATTTGAAATGCTTCGCACCTTCCCTCATGATTCCATGGCATTGGAAGCAGAACCCAACAAAAACCGAGACAAACTGGCCACCGATTGTGCATGAAATTGCGGGGTAATAAACAAAGATGGTGGAAGAAGAAGAAGTAGCAGAAGAAAAGGTCGATCATTCATTCATTCATTCAGTCAGTCAGTCAGTCAGTCATCTCCTCAACTAGCCCACGAAATCCTCCAGAGCTTTCTTCGCTACAAAACCCTAGAGTTTTTTTAAAATTCAAAACGCCGAGCTGTCCCCAAGACGACCACGCCTCGGGATGCACGCTCCCAGTCGGAGAGAAATCAGGTCGGACGAAAGGGAGGACTCCAACCCCGGCGTGCTCGAGGCTCGAATCAATGCTCTCTCGCCCCTCCCCTTCCCTCTCTTCCCTCTCATCGCCTCAATGCGCACACACACACATACTGTGCAGGATTCCATGTTTAGTAGTGGGATTCTTCCACATCCATCACCGAACTCCGTTGCTTACGGCTGCTCTTCTCTGCGACAGAGCCTCACCTAGGTTGTGCTGGGATCGCAAGTGTCTGCCTCCCATTGATCGTCGCCAATGGTTTGTGGGTTCATTCACGCCGCCTTGCATGCGCAATGCTGCTCGGCAACCGAATGCATCGAGGGTGGATGAACTCGCGGAGGTCGCGGTCACTTTTGCCCTAAACCTGGGGCCTCGGGGTCAATTATCTATTAAATTGTGTTGTGGCAGGGTTGTAGACAGCCCCGTTGCTCATTTTGGGCTAAAGAGGGGGTGGGGGTGTTCGAATGGGAACTTACTCCGTAGCTGTCCAAATTCATTATCTACAGGGTTTGGATTTCAAATTCTGGGTGAGCGAACACTCCAGCCACTACCTTTTTTTTTTTTTTTTTTTTTTTTTGGAGCTTTTCATAAAATTCTTTTACGAAATGGGTGTCATCACGATGGGAGTGGGGAAAAAAGTTACACGGAGCCAGTGTCTGTGATCAACCCCATGCTGGTTTTCACTTTCTTAGTAATAGATGGAATGTTGTCCATCAATTCTGAATTGAATATCACCACGTAGCCCAAGCTCTGTTGTCTGATTTTCTCTGGAAGCATTTATGCTCGCTGCATTATTTGAGAGCATAATTGTGTCTTTGCAACGGAAATTCAGAAGATGGATGGATGGGTGGATAGATGGATGGATATATACATAATTAAATAAACCTGTCACTTCTACAAACAATAGGTTTTTACCAGGCCTGTGTGATTGAATTTGTAGGGCCAGCACTGACACGCACAGGAAAAGACAATGCTTTTTATGGGATGTTTGGGAATTGAGTTCATGCTGTGGGAGAGAGCTGACTGTTGTCCACCACGGCTGCCATTTGTATGTTTCTTCAGCATGACTGCTAATGAGTTTGAAACAAACATTTTCAAACAATCAAGTTAGAAACAGTACACAGATGTGGATGAGTATTTACACGTAAATGAATCAGAACGCATTCATTGCCAAAGTAGTGTATGCGCCAAGTTTTTGTAAGAACTCACTCCGATCGCCAGTAAGACCACACTGGCAAAAATCTGGATGTCGACAACTGCAGAATTGTTTTCGCAAAAGAATTTTGGTAGATGTGAATGTTATCTATTTATTTATTTATTTTTGAAAGGTATGAGTGGCTGGATAGACATTCGTGGAGGGTAAGGCTTGCGCGTGACAGGCAACCAGCTGAGTACCGTGTCACAGACAAGTGTACACATACTTTTGTGGAAAGCTGGTTGCAAGTCTCTTAAAATGGTGTTCAATAACGAGATTTTTTTATACATATGCATGTTTATTTTTAATGAACTTCAGGGAATGGTTCGCTGGTCAATTACGTGCACTAAATTTGCTAACCTCCCAAATATGAAAGGCAAAACGATTAGCGCCAGCCAGCATACCAGGTCCATGGAGAAGTTCTCCAACCCAGCGTTTCGGGTGTTCAAAAGAGGAGATTTAGCTCCAGCCGTCGTGTACAGGGAGACTACGATGTACAAAAGAGCTCCGGACCCACGGCGGACATGATGCGAGAGTCGTTAATTCTTCTTCGTCTTCTTCCAGATGCAATCACGCTGTCCCTGATGCGATGTACTGTTGCAGTGTGATTTCGGATAATTTGGGAAGAGGCATGAGATTCGGGGCACTTGCGTCGTTGTCTCCGCTCGGCGCCTTGTCAGGCTCCGGATGCGAACAGAATGACTGATCTCATCCAGCATCGGGATGCTCAACTTAACTGCCCGGCGCAGTTGTCGGCTGAACAACGAATCTGGGATGGCCGCGGTTACATTCATCGGGGGGGTTACAGTCGATCTCTCCTGTTGCCTATTGTAGGCAAATCTCTTCCGGGCGACTCTGGTTCGCGCCCTTCGTGTCCAACTGTTTCGGCGTACCCACTGGAGCATTGCTACGACTGGGATTGCAACACCCCAACGCACCCACCTCGTCAATCAGGTTGCATTCGACATGCAGATCTTTCCTGCGGGGAATGTAGCTGTTAGGTTTCCTGGGGATTCATCTCAGTACCGCCAAAGTCTCAAGCAGCTTCTGAGTGGTGCTAGTGTTTCGGAGAGGAGGATGGGTTGAATAGGTGAGGCCTGCGGGAATGGGTGGCTGGCTGGCGTCGATAGCGTTGGGCAATGCCAGGTACTAGTCGTTGCCTGGGAGAACTCTGGTAGGGTTAGCAGGAGCGCGTGCTTGTGGTGCCGGAGTTGGTTGAACTCGTAGATGGAAGGTCGTCGACTGCTTGTGCGGATAGGGATCAGGTTGCATTGATTTGCGGCTGTACCTGATGGCGTGAGAGGCTGGATCTCGTGTTTGCGTTTTCGTAGGTTCTTGTGTGATGTAGGACTCAGGGAACAAAAGGTTTTTTTGCTCAGGATCGAAGTTGTCGAGAATGGATGATCGTCGTCTTGCGTGATATTGCTGCCTTCACGTGATTTGATGTAGATCATGCCTCGAAGAATGCTTCAGCGTTGAAGCACTAGACTAGTGAGCAAGTCATTTGGCAAGGACCTGAATGGGATCTTCGTTCATGATGTCCTCATTCTGGACAGCGTATTCTGCCACGTGATGCTTGTTCATGGTGACTTCTTTGTTGAACTTTTCAAGTATCTGGCATTGTCAAGCTCCAGATCTGGTAATCGTCGTTCCAGTCATGGAACGCAATCCATGGTGTTCTTTATGCGGGCTCTCGTTTCGTCCTTTCACGTCCTATATTTAGGCGCATTTCTTGTTACGGAGAGGATTCGGTCATGTGTCTGGATCACCTGCAAGTTTTAGTTACACCGTCTGACTCGAGTCAAGTCGTAGATATTTATCAACATATAACTTAATTCTTCATGCGTCGCAAAAGTTTGATATCTTTCTGATGTTTCTTAAATATTCTGTCATAATGGTCATCTCTGCTTTGTGAAAGGTCATCGTAATAACGAATATTTGCGGTTAACGACATATCCGTTGACGTGAAGTCGTTCTCGAAATATTAGATTTTTTTACTGTTCATCTGTTTTCCGGTGGGGTTTAAGAGTCGCACTCTCAGGACTTGGGAATTGTTGATCTCAGAATAATTAATTGACTTGATATTCTAGATTGATCACTACAGTTTTGAGGTTTCATTTGTAGAGTCGCGGTGTGGAGGAGAAGCTTTCTGCAAAGTGGATGCTCTTAGATATGGATTGTGGCAGAAGAAGAAATAGGGTTGATTTGATTCCTATTGTGAACGGCAGTGACTCTAAATGCTGAGATGGAAGATTTAAAGTCATAGAAATGCAGAGTGTTTGGAACAGCGGGGGCAATCATGTCTGCAGCGGCAAGTTGTTAGTTTGGAGTTGTCATGCGGAAGTCGAAGTAAGTTCCAAACTTTCATTCATCATGTCTTATTCGCTGATGATTTACAAATCATGCCAATGCGAATCGCATATGCGTTTGAAACTTGTGTCAGAATCATTGTATACCCTCATGGGGGACAATTGGTTCGCTGCCGGGTATTAGTCGGCACTTTTCATGCATTCGTAGAGTGTGTTGTATGAAAGCTGTCTCATGTTTTTACCTTGTTGGCTGTGTCTCGAGCAGATCCTGATTATGTGCTCAAAACAATATAAGGTCAATCCCAAGTGAAAATTCCACTTCACCTACAATGCAAAAAGAAAATTCTGACACCGATTGATTCTATGTATCCGAGAGCTTAACCAATCTTGTGAAGAAAGGCGCTGCGTGTAGCCCATAACGGTGGAAGCCATGGCAAAAGTTGAGCGGCGCTACACCCGCAAAGTAGGGGATAGCTTCAGGAGAGATAAGGAGCATTTGGCTCTGTTCGAGGAGCTGGGAATGCACGAGGATTTGGATTCTTCTCTTGGTAATATATATTCAGACATAAACATCTTTTCTTACTGCTTTCGTTCTTAATAACAATATGTCATCATGGAAATGATCGTATCTGGAAGTGATCAATCCTTGCTATTTCACTGGTACTCAAAGACCTGTAAACAGCTGTTTGTATATTAGTTTACTAGTCCGTTTACAAGTTCGAATAGTTTGTCTAGATGATATGCTGTTAACATGGTCACATGTCATTCTGTAGGAAATGTGGAATCAAATGTACCCTCTGGGTACGAGGAGTCAGCACAAGGAGACATTGAGAATGATGACCCTCATGCCAAGAGTGAAGATGAGTGGTATGTTTCACTCCATTGTTGAGATTGTTTGAACAATCAGTTTTTTCTGAATTAATTCTGTTCTAGGACAGCGGCCAAGCGATGAACTTGTTGGAAGCAAGGCATTGACATGTGCGTCGTGAGCGAAGATGCTAGGTTTCCACCCCTACTGCATTCAGTTGAAGTCAATATGCATAAGCTTACGTCGCTATCGTGCAGGCTTGTGGCCGTTACAGAAGTTTCTCCTTCCCCAGAACATGGGCAACAGAATCTTGTTAAAAACAGTACTCTCTCATCTATCAGGACCTCAAGGGTGAGTTAACAGATTACCCAGTACAGCATTTCTATGCTTATATCTCTGTTTCTCGTCATTTTTTGTTTCAATATTGAGAGTCTCAAGCTTTACTGAATCTATGCTGGTCTTATGTTCGGTGGATTGCCAGAGTATACCAGCCATTGAGGAACCGGTTGCGGCAGCTCCCAGGAGAAATCCAAGCCCCATGAGGAACAGCAAAAGCCCAGAAAGATCAAACAGTCTTAGCACTTCCAAAAGCCCTCGGCCTCAAAGTCCCAGTACTGTCAAGAGCCCCCGGCCTCAGAGCCCTGGCACCTCCAAAAGCCCCCGGCCAGCCTTCAGCACTTCCACAAAGAGTCCGAGACCGAACGCAGTCTCATCAAAAGGCTCTTCCTCGCCCACTTCGACAGCCTCTGCGGTGAAGTCCTCTTCTCCTCGTCGTATCACCAACCCAATACGCTCCAGCTCTCCGTCTACAACTAGGTCAAGTTCAGTTACCCGGGCAACCACTGCTTCAGCAGCCAAGTCTGCATCTGTGGTGAAATCTTCCCACCCTACATTTACAAGGGCTTCCACAGTGTTCTCTTCGCCGCAGCGACGACAGAGCACGGGAACTATTTCAAACCGACCACTGATTACATCTAATCCGTCCATTTCATCGACTACCGCAGGTCCCACAAAGCCACTTGTCCGAGGGGTGTCGCCCTCTAGAGGTCCCTCTGTCAGGGGCACGTCTCCAGCGCGTGGTGGTACCTTGAGGGCGCCGTCTCCTTCTGTTAGCAGCATCACAGGCAGGGGAACTTCCCCTGTTCGATCTGGATTCAATCGCGGTGCTTCCCCTTCCAGAAGTAACATCACAACCAGGGGGAGCACTCCTGCTAAAAACTTAAGCTCGAATCGGAAGCCTATTTCTTCCAGAGATAATCCCTTTCCTGCTTCGACAGAGCCAAGCTCCCTTACGTCTAGTAGGGCAGGCTCACTCGTAAGAAAGAATGAACATCCTGATCCTTCCGAAAAGCTGAACGATTTTCTTTCAGAGATTCCTGCCAATCTGCGCACCTCCAGCAAGCGAGGGTTTGGTTCTCCTGCCTTCACTGGTGCCCTCGTCAGCCGCTCTTACGATGATCCCAGCAACGAGCGGCGACAGAGCACCTCGCCAACCGACTTCGATAGTTATCTTTCGAAATCCCAAAACGATGTTCCAGGTTTTCTCAGTAGAAGTCAAGTTCAAAGTTCCAATGATCTAAGCAGGGTTGAAGTCGCAGGGATCAGCCATCGGGTGAAGACCCGCGATCCAAGCCCCAAAGCTTCTGTTCGTGGATTTGAGCTCCAGACGAACGAGTGTTATCCTGATCGTCGGGCTTCCACGGGCGACCACCGTAATGGTTCTCAGAAAACTGCGGGTTCTGAGTATGGGCTGGATGGCCGTCGCCTCTCTAAAGTCAGCAAAGAGGCGCCGCCAAGCTCGATGGTAACTACTACCCTTGTCAGGTTTATGGAATTGTAATATTTGAATGTAATGTTTTCATATCATCTCATGAACTCCTTTTTCTAACTTTTTCTTTTCTAATGCTTTCTGCGCAGGGTTATAGTACTCATCAAAATGTTCCTAGCTCTAGTGGCGGCTTCAAACCTTTCATGACAAATAGTTCCATCCCTTCTTTCAATACCTCCATAGTCAGTCGGCCCTCATGTATTGAAACACATGAAGATGTGACAGCAAGTCTCAGTAAGAAAATGGATTCCAATAACACGGGAGGCTTTGCAGAGGATTCTAGCTCTAATGGGGATCAGAAAACCGTAGTCAAACGGACACAAATGGGGTTTTCTCTCAAGAAAGAGAATACAACCTCGCACGCAGGCTCAAATACAGAGGCTCCGCCAAACAGGACGGATGTGAGCACCAAGAGTCCGAGGTTGACTGCGCTTGTTGTAAGCCAGGGGCCAGTGAAGATATACCAAGGACTAGCAGACATGGAAGACATTGGCAGCAGTTGGTGTTGCGGGATGGAGTACCAATACCGTAGCATGTGCAAGCAACATGAATGTGGAATCTACAAAAACTTTCACGATGCTTTAGTCGTGTCCAATTCTAAGCCTATCACTCCAGTATTCAAAAAGAGCACTGAAGGTGGTCAAGGCACTTTGGAAATCGAGAATGTTTCTGCAGATTCTTCAGTTTCTCCTTTTAGAAACAGAGTCGAGGACAAGATTACTGATGAGGTCGTAACCTCACAGGTTGTGAGTGACGCGAAGAAAATAGAAATGGAATCTGCGGATACAATCAAGTCCAAGATCCTAAAGGTGAAATGTCGACAAGCTAGTTCAGAGAATTCATGTCGTGAGGTTGCTGGTGAATTCGTGAGGTTGAAATCTGGCGGTGAGGGAGTTCAACATACGCTACGAGAGGGGAAGATCAAATCCCTGACTATAGACACGAATGGCAATGATTCCCCTGATGGTAAGCTAGAAGATTGCGAAGTTCTGAAAAGCAGTGGTGAAAGGAATCCTATTCAGGGATCGCCTGAGGCTGAAATTATCCTGATGTCACCAGTTTCTGTGAGTGAGAGTGCAACTTCAGAGGATGTGTTGCCACCTGATGATGCAGCAAGATCGCTGGCTTCTCCTCTACCTGTCGGAAAGGGTCAAACCAGGCAGCCAAATAGTGCCAAAGAGGCGAAGAATGACTTGAATTGGGAGCATGATATGATTCTAGAGTCCCCTGGGCCGCGGCCACTCAAGCCACCCGATTTTTTTGCTGTGGCTAAACGCAACGGAGAGGAAGCTACAATCTACAGGGTGCAGAGCTTTAATGCGTCAGATTTCAAGGAGGATTACAGCGATGAAGATGTAGCAATTGCTGCAGACGTATTAGACAACACGGAGGATGTTCCCAGTGAGAGTGAAATTGACGAGGCCGGTCATCAAGATTATAGTGACGGAGTCCCCAAATTGAAGTCCTCGAGTTCCGACTCTGGGCCGACTTCACTGCACGACACAAGGTCGGATGCGGAGATGGATAAGGGAATCGTGCCGCGGATGTGTAAACACTCGGGTCAAGGTTGCTTGACACGCGATGAAAATTTGGAGCGTGAGGATCCTGTACCTCCCTTTCGTGAATCTGGGGATGCTCAGTGCGCGGTTGATGATCCTCGTAGTCCATTGAGACATGCTGCGGATGCTAGCGTAAGCATCCCAGAAAGAGCCAAAAATCTGCCGCAGAAATCCGATCAATTGACCCCGTGTTCGAAGAGCCCCAGGGCGGGATTTTGTCGGGGTTACCATAAAAGAGATGACGCGCAGCTGGTATCGTCTAATAAGAGAAGGACTTCGACGCCATCTGCGACGAGCATTGACTTGACTCGCAGCATTGACACATCTTGCTCATCGCACAGTCAATATGACAATGCGCTGTGGGACGATCCGAACTACAGCGGCAGATTTGGAAGCCCAATGGCGGGTATACCGTTCAAGTCAATTCAGACTTTGCCCTTGCCTGTGGATTTGAGGCGAATGGAGACGCAAAGTGATATTGGAGATGATGGTGCTACAGGCGCAGACGATGACGTCAAGTCTCCGCGAACCAACGAAGGCTTGGCCAGGCTTGCGGCGTACATGCGAAGCGCCAGCCTCAATGCGCGGAATTGGAGAGCCTCGTTGCTGTCGAGTGAGGAGAATTCGAAGCTACCGTCACGTGATAGCTCATTCGACTACTTCGTAGACTTCCTGGATTCGCAGACAGATCTCGATCTTGAGGGGTGTGGGTTGACGGATGTTCTGGTTTCGGCTCACAAAGAATCTAAGAATGCAGATTGCTCTTCAGGAATCAACACCTTGCGCTTCATAAAGCGCTTGGACTCTAGGCTCAGCAACAATAGTTTGATTAGTGACAAATCCTACGAAAGCAGGGTGACGGACATTTCGACTGACTCTAGCTGGGAATCTGGAAAGAATCGAGCGGGACAAACGATGGAGGGCACATGTCAGGTGATGGAGCAAATCGTGGAGAACGCCAACGCGCTGTCTCATGGTCGGCACTTGTCGTCCTTCAAGTTCGGGCAGAAGAAAACCGCCGCAAGTTTAGCAAATATTGATCTGGGGTCTGAGTCGCCGGCGTCGGATCTGTTTCCCTCTCCGGTTCGGCGGAAGTATTCGAAGCAACTGAGCAACGCCACGTCGGAGTCGTCCCAGAAATCTGCAAAACATTACGGTAAATCTGCTCCGTCCTCTAGATGCGACCCGTTTTTGATGCGACCCGTTTGGATGCGGGTCATTTTCAAACGAAGATGTGCATACTGGCTTTTCAAGGATGCAAACCTTGCTATGAGTGAAAACTTCCTTTCGTTCTATAATCTGAATCCACGTCGGCAAAAACAACTGGTCCCGATTCCCTCTAGAATAAAGAACAAAGCAGGTGGGATAGCAGAGCGCTCAGGTATTCCCCCCCATCTGAGCGCTCCATTCTATGCACAGAGATCATGCAGGGTAATCCCTGAGTTTCACGTCGTCGCGTAATGGGTCTCTTCCTGCACACTTCTAGCACCCTCTTCTGACGTATGCTCCGGTTTGTTTAAATTTTGCGTGCAGACGACCGGCGCGCTGATCTGCTGCCTGCGTTGAAATCCACACCCGGAATTATAATCATGTCGGACAAGTCCGCGGATGACCGGGGTGTTCTGAGCCCCCCGCGCTCGTCTGCAAACGACATTGGAGAGTTCGACGGCAACTTATGGGAGGCGGTGCAGTTGCTGGAAGAGGAGAAAGATACAGAGATGGAACTCACCCCGCCCGCCCCCATCGAATTTGCCACCATAGATTTCACCCCCGCCCGGACCCCAGCTCGTACACCTGCCCGCACGCCCGCTCGCACGTTCAGCCACGCATCGAAGTCTTCTAATGAATCTCATCACTCCCATCACTCACACAACTCCCACAAGGACGGGTTCGGAAGGAGTCCGTCCGTGACGTCCAAGGCATCCAGCACGAAGCACGGCGATGGCGACGAGACCAGTGACGGAGCCGAGAAGACGGGTTTTACCTCCAGGCATGTCAGGCACGCTCACAAGTACTGCGGCTGCATAATTCTGTGATGGAGAGACGAGCATGACCCAGTTTGCCAATCCAACTAACTGCCACTGCCATTATGTACTACTAGTGTATCCAGACGCTTGTCTTCAACTCATTCGCCCTTGTACAGCCCCACCGCACCGCCCCGCCCCGCAATGCATCAAACTATTTATACTGACAATCTGCCACCTCGTTCGAGGATTAGTTCGTCGGATCTAGTGAGGCCTGTGCTGAGTTCTAGTCGTAGATTTCCAAGCTCCAGATCTCGAAGCCTTGCAACGGCTCTTTCCATACACTCTCGTTGACACATCTCTCATGGTGCCACCCACTCTGAGTCTGCTCAACAAGAATGATTCCATGTGGACAATCCAGCCGTGCCACCATTCATGAAATGCTATGTGCTTCTGTATTGCTACTTCGCTTACAGTTTTCTCCTGAGTAATGTAGAGTAAATACACTAACTGGTACTGAAATATTGTGCCTATGTTAAATCAATCCTGGAATGATGAATGCTGATTGTTTTGGTTGTGTGCCTTTGACTTGCATTGTCTACGAGTGCAGTATTACAATATGTAATTTAGTATAGTTGATGTAGACCCATGTGCCTCATTTGGATGTAGCAATCAATTGATTATTTGTAACTCAATCTTAGGAAGTGTAGAAAAGACATTGTTACTGAGAAGCCATGCAAAGATTCTGTATGTCAGATGGCTTTCACCTTAATAATGAAGTGTACATGTTCCAAATTGTAATAGATTCTCGATTAGTTTTTTCAAGACGATTTATGATTGATGAGACGTACTGTTTAGTAATAGACAACTGGCTCTTCTAATGGTGGATTTTGTAAAGTCTTTGAGGTTTTTTTTAATTAGAACATTCTCTTATGTGGATGAAATTGAGGTAGATTATGATTTGCTTTCTTGGAATACATGTGAGGATAAATGTGCTATAGATAAGAGTATTGTAGCTTTGAATAAACTAGGTGCAAATAAAGAGACACATTGATAAAATTCTAAATGTGTAGTTATATTTGATATAATAATTGTAATATAGCACTTAAAATAATAAAAATGTGGTTTTATAGATTTTGATTTTTTTTCTAAATATTACAAGCCATATTGCTACTACTCTTAGGTGGCACAACCTATATAATCTTAGAAAATTGTCTCAAAAGTTTTTTTTATAAAAACTTCATAATATTATAACTGCTTAAGGAGATTGTCTAATGTAATATTAGATCAACAAATTCTACAACAATTGGTATTTGTGCCATAGAAGATCCACTAATACTTAGTTATTTAGAATAGTCAAACTTTATGAATCTTTTTTATTAGCTATTACTATATTGTAAGGCCATCTATCTTGCAATATTTAGAAATTTTATAACTTTTTAGATTTATCTTCTTTAATAATAATATATACAATATGTTCTTGCAGCTTACAAAAAATAGAGCTTGGTTTTCAGCATTCCACTAAGCATCTTAACAAGATCTCCTAATAGATTGACTTGGCAATAAAAAAATGATATATAAATAATAAATCATCAAAGGATCTTCCAATGGCAACTATGCTAGTCACTATGGCTATAATTCTCTTGCACCTAAGGATCTCTTGATACAAAATATAGTCAAAGTTTATGGATCCTATTTATTAGCTATTGCTTGAATTTAAAGGCTACTTATCTAATCTTGTTTTAGGATTTTACAACTTTGAGGATTTTTCTTCTTATACCAAGATGCATATAATATGCCATTGTAACCTCTATAAGTAGAACTTGCTTTTTAAGAGCCCATTTTACATTCCAAAAATCCTTGCATTTTATAGCAAAGATTAGTATAGAATTTTTAGATTCCTAAAATTTTAAAAAATATATATTTAATATATGAAATGTCTCTTTACATACTAGATAAGGCTCTTTCAAGCCATAAATTAGAACCTAAGAACTTAAGATCCTAAGATCATTTTAAATTTGATGGTCAAAGAAGAAACTAAGATCCTTCTTTTATATTTGGCTATAATTTGAAAGTTTTTTGTAGCCTTCCATTATATGATCTACAATATGATTCAAGCTCTTGATTATTTAGATTATTGTGAATATCTTTCATATTTTCTAGTTGCACAATATTATTGATTTAGACTCTCTTCTAATCATACTTATTGTAATCTTTAGTAGAGTTTTTAAGTCGGAAGAATAAATTTGCAAGTAATAAAACTAATGTAATTAGAGGATCATTTTATAGCTCAAGAAGAAAATATTTTTTTGTAAAAATAAAACATACTCTATGGTATTTTTGGTATATATTTTAATATATTGTTGAAGTGAATTGCATATTACACAGTTTAAAAATAAACTACCAATTGGTTTAATAACTATATTTTTGAAAAAATCCTTCTTAATTCTATTCTTATTAATTTGGAAATTTGGTAGTAAATCGTAATGTAGATTTGTCTACCATTGATATATATATTTAGTATTATAATTAATAAATAAATAAAATAAATAAATCTTGTGATGACAATAATTTACATACTGTTGTAATAAAGATTAATTTTATGAAATATGAGTTAATATGCATAAATTAGATATTAAGTAATTTTTTAAAATAAAATATTGATATTAGAGTCAATACTTAAAATAAGGAGTGAAATCACAAAAATATTAAATAAAAAAAAATTAAAAAAATAAAATTAGTACTTCTAATGTATTAACTTATATATGTTTTTAATTATATTAAGAAATTAAGGTATTTATTCTACCTAGGATTAGGCACTCTATTTGTTGAAGTATAGAATTAGTATTTTCTTTAATCATAGCAGTGATAGTATCAACTTCTTAAACCATACCAAACCAAATTTGTTTAATATTTTTATTTCTATATATTGATGATTAAATACTATGTTTGTACATACTTAATTATGTTACTTTCTACCTTCATAACTTTGTGAGTTTGTATTTTCAAATTAAGTGAATGTCACTTTTAGTATTTGTACATCTTCATTATCTTTCTTATTAAGTCTTTGACATTATTACTATGTGAAATCTTTTCTTAAAGAAAACAAAATAGATAGTAAATTTAGACTTAGTTTCTTAAATCTAAGCAAATTAAGAATGTTGTCATCAAGTCAAAGCTCTAAATATGGCTCCTATATATAATAGGATTATTTATTTTAATAAATACTTATATATTATAATTGGATGTGGTACGTATTTGCACTACTATTTATATAAATGAATGCATTTAGATTGTAAGAGCCAAAAACTTAGAAAAGAATAGATTAGAACTTAATAGAGTCTAATAGCATTAAGTTATTTATTTAATTATGTTACAATTGATAGAAGTAAGGTAGTTAGAGTAAATAGAATGAATAAAGAAAAATACAAAATTAAAATCCTCCAAAATACTAAGAATTGCAAAAAGAAAATTGGGAGGTAAATACAATTTAAATCATTATTACACCTTGAATTAATTCGAAAGATTGGATCAATTCTAGTCTCGAGGTAGAGAAAGGCAAGAAGTACCTTGTGATTGGATGGCCATTAATTAAAAGAGGGCCTATAGAAGAGATTGACAATCATATTTAAGAAGTATAATTAGCCTATGGTAAACTCATTCAAAATTTGACTTGATGAAAATGGTAAAATAAAAGAGAACAATAAAAAATTGACATTCTATCTATTCTACTATATATTCCAAAGTGCACTAAGATAAAATGATAATGAGTTGAAAATAAAATAGAATAAGGAATTTCACACTCTATTAAGAAGAACCACCAAAGAACTTAATATGTGATGACCAAGAATAGTTAACATCAAATATAATCAATATCAAAAATTATTACTATTAAGTATAGTATTATTAGTAATAAATAGACAAATAAAACAAAAAGAGATAGAAATTAATGTGGAAGGAAGAAAAATCCATAATATTTGTAAGATTGAAAAGACTCAATTCAACAAATTCTCTTAACAATGTACAAAAGATTATATTATAAGAAGATTTGGCTGCCTTGGGATGCAGCTATCTTTACATAATGCTTTGGTGGTTCAAAGAAAAGAACATGTTTTCTAAGTTGATTTTAAACAAATGTCAAGGATATAAATTTTAAACAATAAAAACCTCAATACACTCTTGTATCACTAAAAAAGAGTAGATATTAACTCAAAGATAATATAATATAAGAACTTGAATGGCTATTACTAATGACAAAAAGATTAGAGATACTTGAAATAAGATTAAGAGTAAGAAAAATATTAACAAGATTGAGGAAGGCCTCACTCTTGTCTCCGTATATATTATCTAATAAAGAGCTATATAACAATGTTCTATTGGACAATTGTTATATGTCCAACTTATAGGACACATGTCTAACTTCTAAAATAAGTTTTTTTTTATATGTGTGGCATATAGCCAAATTGTACCACAAATCACCAACATGTACAAAATGTGTCCAACTTGTTGAATAAGTTTTCAACCTATCAATCACCTACAAATATATTGTCTATGAAACTTCTATAAAGTATTTTTATAAGATATTATCAAATTTACTTACTTCTAATTATTTCTATTTAAATCCTTTGATTCAAATAAATATATATATATATATATATATATATATATATTTGACAAAAAAGTACTAATAGATATAAAAGATACTATCTGAGAAAGATTTAATAGAATCTTTTTTTAATAATAGATGTCTATAAGCTAAAGAATAAAAAGAATAATTTGTGGATGTAGAATAAGATGGTAATATTCAAATGATAGTTGTCTTTTCTTTTAATTGTTACAAACCAAAAAAAAGATACCAAATTAGTGAGATAAATGATATATAATTTTATAAAGTATTTGAATTTTTAACCTTGTTTTTCTACCAAAATAACTCAAATTGGATTATCAAAGCTTTAGTTGCAATGTTGGCAAGAGAAATTATCAAAATTTAAGTCTTAATTAGGACAAAGTTTCTTCTCTATTCAATCCAAAGAATTTTTGCCAAATATCCTTTATTTCTTCTTATATGTACCACTTATACCAAGCCAAAGATTTATTCACTATAGTAAAATAATTATTAAGAAAAAAATAACCTTACAGCTTTAAAACATTGAGCATCCAAAGATAAACAATAAAGTCTTATAGTTCAAAGATGATATTAATATGAACATGATATAGATCTTCAAAACAATGAAGTCTCCAAATCAAGGAAGGGAAGAAGTTATTCTTCCTTTCAAATAAAAAAGAAGACTAGACAAAAAAAAAAAAAAAAAAAAAAAAAAAAAAAATGATTTATGAAAAAATAATGTATTAATCCAAAAGACTTATACAAAATATTTCTTATAACAATATGTATTGATGCATATAAGGATCTTAAGAAATTACTAGCTAGCTATTTTTGGATCCACATTATATTAAGTTAAGTGATTTTATTGTTAGAGAGTTGTAAAGAATTGATCAAGGTCCTTGAGCTGGTCAAAGCCATGAAGAATAATGAATTGATAAAAAGACTAAATGCCATAATGAAAGAATAAAAGGAAAAAA